ACCAACAAGAAGACACGTCGCCAGATTCATGACAAGATATTTTTCTGGAAGTGTTCGAGCCCAGCGGTTCTAGGTTTGTGTGTTGCAAGTGTCTGCGGATTTTCCTTGAAATGGGTGAGCTATGTGTGTCTGTGTCTTTTTGGCTTTTAAATGTTGAGTGCATTTTGTTGTTGTTGATTTAGCGTACACATCTTTGCAAAACCATTAGAGACTTAAATATATAATTATTTTATGATTTAAACATTAGCATTTAAAAGTTGACTTAGAATGCAATTCATAAAAAATAAGTTTTATATGTATTCGATTTTTTATTAATTTATGTCTCATGTGCGTTACTTCGCCGAATCTGATTGACTTCAAGGACTTCCTTTTTCTATTACTTAAAATTTCGTATTTTAATCAAACAAGAATTTTAAAAACTTTGTTTACATTAAAAGAGGCCATGCCTAATGGTTCCAGCCGTCTAGTGGTCCCAGTGGTCTAGTAGTGCCAGTCGTCTAGTAGTGCCAGGCGTCTAGTGGTGCCAGCCGTCTAGTAGTGCCAGCCGTCTAATAGTGTCTGTCGTCTAGTGGTGCCAGCCGTCTAGTGGTCCCAGTCGTCTAATAGTGCCTGTCGTATAGTGGTGCCAGCCGTCTAGTGGTCCCAGTCGTCTAGTAGTGCCAGGCGTCTATTATTGCAGACGTCTAGTGATTGCACATGTCTTGTGTTGCCAGCCCTCTAGTGGTGCCAGCCGTCTAGTGGTCCCAGTCGTCTAGCAGTCCCACTAGTCTAGTGGTGCCAGCCGTCTAGTGATTCCATCCGTCTAATAGTGCCAGTCGTCTAGTGGTGCCATCCGTCTAGTGGTGACAGCCGTCTTGTGTTGCCAGCCGTCTAGTGATCCCAGTCGTCTAGTGGTGCCATCAGTCAAGTGATTCCATCCGTCTAATAGTGCCAGTCGTCTAGTGGTGCCATCCGTCTAGTGGTGACAGCCGTATTGTGTTGCCAGCCGTCTAGTGATCCCAGTCGTCTAGTGGTGCCATGCGTCTATTATTGCCAGACGTATAGTGGTTGCACACATCTAGTGGTGACAGCTTTCTTGTGTTGCCAGCCGTCTAGTGCTGGCAGACGTGTAGTAGTGCCAGCCGTCTAGTAGTGCCAGCCGCCTAGGTCTCAGATCCCAGCAACTCATAGCGTAGAATAAACGTGATCACTATGGACGCTAATCAAGACAATGAATACGGTGTCCAATTCCAGAAATATGGCATAATTAGACAACCACTAAAACTAATTTTTTTCTCATAAATCCTTTAAATTCATTTTAAAAAAAAAATAATAATAATATTCTAATGTCCCACCTTCCTTTACACAGCAGATTTATTTCACCAACTATTTGAGAAAAAAGCAAAAGAAAATATTATGCATCAAACGCATTTGCGATATGTTTTAAAGAATATCACTTAGCGCAGTTATCAGGAATTTTATTTCCTGAAATTACGAGCATCAAATTTCCTTCACCTAAAAAATAGAATAACTTGTGTTTTTGGGGTATGGGGGTCAAGGTCGAACATTTAAAAAAAAATTATTGCCATCAGCAACGAGTTTATTTATGTGCTAAGTTTTAGCTCGTTTTGTTGACATAAAAGTTGGCCAATTAACCGTCCAATAATTAAGCATGAAGCACCCAAAAGTGAAAGTTTAATACAACGGATTTAAAACGATATACGTTGGATATAATCACCAGCAAATTGGAAAACCCGGAACTGTAACAAAGAAATGTAGACCAATTTAGCTGTACAATTTTAAACAATTTCTATATGTTATGTAATGTATATGCTACTACAATTATGGGGGGCAAGAGTGTATTTTCCGTCTCATAAAATGAGCAAACAGTAAAACATATAATATTTTATATCTCCAAAGCCTTGCTTTTATTTTCTTCCGTTTTATTTTCTCATCAAAATGTAAAAAAAAAAAAATGATTGTTTTTAAATGTACGCATTTGTACTTTTTTTGTACGTGAACTTTTTAAACATACATTTAAAAAAAAAACAAAAAAAAAAAACTCGAAAAGATCATTAAGCTTGAAACTATTACGTTAATTTGAACATATTGTTCAATCTCGTCTACAAATTAACGATATTATACGAGTCTTTTGCCAACCACCTTTCATTCGCGAGACCGTCTAGTGAGGTGTTGCACTGTTGCAAATCGATAAAATGCTCCTCGATTGACCCAACTGTTTGAAACGAAAACATCAAGGCAGTAAACGTTGAATCAGAATTGGTCGTAGCACTGCAGAGGACCGCTCCGTCGTCTCACAGAGGACCTCTCAATCGTGTAATAAAGGACCTCTTGATCGTCTCACAGTTTCTCTCAAATGTCTCTCACAAGATCTCTCAATCGTCTCACCGAAGGCCTCTCTATTGTCTCCCACAGGACCTTTCAATCGTCTCACACAGGAACTCTCAATAGTCCCACAGAGGACCACTCAATCGTCTCACAGAGGACTTCTCAATCGTGTCACATAGGACCTCTCAACCGTCTAACAAATATCCTCTAAATCGTATCACACAGGACCTCTAAATCGCTCACAGAGGAGCTCTCAATCGTCTCTGAAAAGTGACAGTCTACTCTAAATTTAAATAAATGAGCTTGACGTCTTAAAAATTATATCACGTGATATTAAGATAAGATAAGACTCTCAATTCATCCATTTTTTATATTACATTTTAAATATTCATATTCAGCATATAAATGAGCAATTAAATTCGTACGGACAAACGAATTTTTACATCTTTCTGTCCTAACGTTAAGAGATAGAAATTGATACTTGAACATTTATACGTTCTATGAACCTGACTCTCAAGTATCTTACGGGATGGGGACATTGGAGTCGCCATTCGGAAAACTGTTATTCACACGACATTGTTGACAAACATTACACAACTATTGTTACCGATACCGGATACATTTTGCATCTATCCACGATCGATAATTTTGATCTGCGGCAGATGGTATCGATGCAAGGCAGCTGGTGTTGATAGACGATGGGTGGTATCGTTCATCATAAGAGACATGTCACCGAAGAACTCCAACCCCACAGTATGAACGGACTCCGTCTAGACAAAGCTGAATACGTGATCAGTCAGTTTATAATATGATGCCTGAGGATCACGAGAGAGCGGGATGGTATGGTGTTTGAGATCTAGCACGCTATGTTGCTAGGATGCTAGGGTGCTAGGAATCTGGAATACTAGGGTGCTGGGGAGCTAGGGAAGAACTCGACTGAGTTCAAACGACAGATTCAGATTATATTTTTAGAGGGCAATCTAATTTTTTTTCGTTTTTTTTAAAAGGTCTATGCTACCAAACTTCAGTTTTGAAAATTTAACGTAAATTAACTTTTATAGGCTCGCTGATAAAGATTTTTTTTTTTTACATTCCGGTGCGTATACAATGTTTACACAGGAATTGTGATTGTAGCTCTAAATAGTTTTCCAAAAAGCACAGCTAATTATTTAAAAAAAATCATTCCAAATCCGCCTGGAAATATTGTGAAAGGAGATGTTATGGAAAAGACCAAGAAGTGATTACGTGGACCTGGATGTAGAACAGGATGTTTATGTGAAAAAAACAAGAGGAATAAATAGAAGTAAATTGGCTGTACACCGAGAAAACGGAAATATTTTATTGAATTAACAGGTAGTTTATTTTATGGGCTATGGTAGGCAGTCTACAGCGAGGAAGACCTTGACATGCTTGGACAGTGAAACACGATGGAGAGAAAGATGCACACAGGAAAGTGGCATTGGCTGATAATAGTTGCGCTGAACAGAGATATAAATGAAAAGAACACACAATCTGTTTTTAACTTTTATTTTCATGTGTATAGCTATAAAACAAATAATAAAAGTATTAAGAAAAATGAAGCATCACTACCAAAAGCGTTCTGCACAAAGTGCTTTCTTTTTAAGAATTCTTTAGCTGAAACGTGGCACATAGACGAGCTGCCAACGACAACACATCCTCTCAAATGTCCAGCCCAACTCCCCCCCCCTCCCCCCATCTCCATCCCCTTAAATCAATTTTTCCTTTTTTTTTTAAACTGGGGAGATAAAGAACGAATGATGTCACTAATTTTCATGAAATAAAATTCCCGCTAACTGCACTTTTATAAGATTCTTAAGGAAAACAACGACAACACATCCTCTCAAATGTCCAGCCCAACTCCCCCCCCCTCCCCCCATCTCCATCCCCTTAAATCAATTTTTCCTTTTTTTTTTAAAATGGGGAGATAAAGAACGTATGATGTCACTAATTTTCATGAAATAAAATTCCCGATAACTGCACTTTTATAAGATTCTTAAGGAAACACTAATGCGTACGTTTGGTGCGTAATATTTTCTTTCTTATTTTGTTGTTGTTTAAATAATTAATAATAATAATAATAAAGTTTATTTGAAAAACACGTTTCATCCCCAAAAGCTCGAAGCGCGGTTCAAAGTCAACCATATTACAAAGAGAAATAAAAACAATATAAAATTTACCACATTTAAAAACAGACGCAACAATATAAAGCTACATACGAGCTGGTTAAATAAATCTGCGGTGCAGAAGCTGGAGGAACATTATAATATTAATATTTTAAAACAATTTTAAAAATGCATTTCAAGTATTGAAACGAAATACCTTGTTTTAAGGGTTGTTTAATCCATGTTTTGTATAGTTACATACGATCTGTATTTCATGCGCTGAGATTTATGTTAGAATTAAATACATTGTGCACACATTTAAAGCTGTGTGTGTTTGTGTGTAAAGATTAGGCTTCTTTATTCCACTGCCGCCCAGGACAAAACTTTTTACTAAGATAACTCTGATATCGCTTTCAAAAGTGCATCCTGCAACGATCCACTCACAAGTTTTTTAGAAAGATGAAGAAAAAGCCAATCACGTGTTTCGACATAAAGGATGTGGCAAAGTCTCTGACGTGACTACACCGCAGTCGCGTGATCCGTTTCCTTTTATCTGCACATGCGCAGCCACGATAAACTTTCCAGGAAGCTCTTCCTGAACTTACTGTTCATTGCGACGTAAATGACGAAATTGATTCCACTGTTAAGGTATGTTGCTGAAAAGCGGCTTTGCCTTAAAATAATTCCGAGCAGGTCGTTGCTGGCTTCAATTGGCACAGCAAGGAGAGTCACAAATCCGTAGCCGTAGAGGATTGCAAAAACTATGGATACGCTGACCAGTGTCCGCGTCGTTCTGTGCATGGACTGCTTCATGACGTCAGTCTTCGGAGACACAAGTTTCTGGCGTTGTCGCTGAGAGAGTTTGATCTTAAGTCCAAGTATGACGGCTCCTATGACGACGAGACAAACAGGGACCCAGGATGCCAGAGACGCGAAGAAATATTTGTTGCAGATTTCTATAATGTTTAAATTGGTTAAATAGTATGAGGATAAGATTGGCACACCAACGTTGATGCCGCTTAAGCGCAAGTAATAGAACTTTGTGAAAAATACTGCGTTGAGACACCAGGGCAGCCAGAATAAATAAACACAAAACACGACAATCCACGCCCTCTTCGCCGTTACGAGACGGTTAAATTTTAACGGGAAAAAAACGGCCACGCACCGTTCCACCATGATGACGACGGGAAGCGTTGTTGAACAGTAGCCGCCGAGATTTGTAAGGAATTCTAATATTTTGTTGATGACGTAAAGAGCATAGGCCCCCTCTTCAGAAAACGCCCAGCCAATAGATGCGACTCCAGAACCGTAATATAGAAGGAGCCTCGTGAAGTCCAGCGGGTAAATCAAGGCCAATGTGTCAGAAAATGTAAGCGCAAAGAGTAAAATATAAGACGACTTCCTGAGCCTGGTGCGCAGGAGGACCCCGAGACTGAGGACGTTGCCGATCAAGCCCAGTCCGCACACGGCAGGGAACACGTAGCGATTCATGATGACTATAATATTCGCGTTGATATATGTGTTTATTGATGATTGGTTTATGGGAGAACTGGGTCCCTGGGACGTCATGGTCATGAAGTATACACTGAAGCTATCAGACGCAGATATATAGTTAACCAAAACAGTGAGTTGTTATTGTTTAACTCATTAAAAATGCTAATTAAATATTTCTTTTAAAATACCTGTAAAAATCACTTCTATAAAATTGCAACAGTGGTTCTCACATGAACGTTTGATGAGGCTTAGTGAGAGCTGAAATGACACATGTGATACACAATTTTTAAGTAGATAACATTTTTTTCCCCAAGCTTTGACTTGTGGACGTAGTTTGTTCCCGAATAATCAAAGCCTTTGACATATTCCTTCAGATTTGACTTGTTGGCCTACATTCAAAGTATTCACTGAATACTATTTTTGTAAAACTTCCCCACGTGGTACTCATGAAAAATGTGCTCGCAATAAAATGTTGGTAGAAATGTTTAACAATTTCAGCAAGAAACCGGCCTCTACTACCACTATAAAAATTATTAAAAAATTTGTATTCACAAGGTTGGTTAAAGAGTAATTGTTTCGTTTCTTTCTAAACGACGACTTTCTTTTTTAGTCAAACGGCTTTTCATGCTCACATTTAGTTTGACTTCATTCAATAATTATTTCGTTGTTTATATTTTTATTGGTGTCTTATCATCTATTCATGACTACACCTTAATTGTTTTATGATTTATATCTCACCTGTCTGAGTGCTTTGAGTCGAATGTGTTTGTTTTTTTTTTTTTAAATTGCCACAACTCCTAATATAAGTGTAACCACTATGTTACACCATTAAAGGGATATCATCATAAAAAATGGTTTGTTGAAAGAATCACCATATTTATATATTCGATTACCTAAATTTACGTAAAAAATTGGGGAAATTTGAGTAGTAGTCCTGAATTTTAAGATCACCTTCTCCCTTAATTCCTTCCAACGACCAGTGACCTTCTCTATTTCTCTGATGTCAGAGCCTGAGTTTTTTTAGAACATCTTGAAACATCAGCCCGATAAATAGGTGCATAGAAATAAACAAGCTGGGTGAAACACGATGGCTGCGATGGTATAGCAAACACGTGAATGCTCAAATAGTGAAATATAGTTGTTTACATTACATATGTCTTTTCTACTACTTATGTACATCTTGTTTAATTATTATTTTGTAAATGCATTAGTTCACTTTTATCAGGCTATGTGAAAATGTTTAGGTTCATATTAAAAATGAGTGGAAAAAAAAATAAAAAAAACCTATGCCATTTGAGTTTTAAAAAAAATAATTTTAAATTAAAATTGCACACACAAAGACATTTTTTCTAAAAAGATGTTCGTGAATTTGTCTTACTACGTTCGATTTCTAACAATTGCTGAGATGGTGTAACCAGTCTCCAATTACATTTTCTTTGCTCCCTTTTTAAAATTAAGTTCAATAAAGACTACGCTCCATGACAACCGAAAGACCCCCCCCCCCACCGAATGCTCACCGTTTAGACAGAAATTAACGTTGATATAATTTTGTTCAACAGCGTGAACATGTTGTAAACTCTGTGCAGAGGACACGTGGCAAATTAAAATTCATAATTACTTTTTAGTAGAACATTTAAATCTAGCTCATCGTGGCATTTATCTGTAATGCTACAGTGGGAAATCAGGTCATGCAAATGGAGATAGTCTCTAAGATCATATCGATTTACATCAAGGCCTCTCAAACTAAAGACGTTTTTTTTTTTTTTTTGTGCTGTTGAAAAATAGAAACACTATTATAAAATGTTCAGTTATTACACATAGTATGTAAAAGAATGACTTACATATGACTTATCTCTTTTTACGACTTTTTAAAAATAAAAAAGGCCTCTCAAACTAAAGACGTTTTTTTTTTTTTTTTGTGCTGTTGAAAAATAGAAACACTATTATAAAATTTTCAGTTATTACACATAGTATGTAAAAGAATGACTTACATATGACTTATCTCTTTTGACGACTTTTTAAAAATAAAATGAATTATTAGACATTCTTTATCCTGCGATAATAAATTTAGCTTGGATCCCTCTTTTTTAAAGTTTGTTTCTTTATGACGCGTAAGAGGAAGGCTATCGACACTTTTTAAAATTATATCTGGGAATAAATACTTTTAATTTATATCAGAGAACAAAGGCTTTTAAAAGTTATCTGGAAATAAATACTTTTTAATTGATATCTAGAAATAAATGCTTTTTAATATATATCTGGAAATAAAGGCCCTTAGACTTTATCTGGAAATACGTACATTTTAAGTTATATCTAGAAATAAATGCTTTTTAATTTATATCTGGAAACGAAGGAATTTAAAATTTATCTGGAAATAAATACTTTTCAAATTTTGTCTGGAAATAAATGCTTTTAAAAAAGGAAGAGTTTTCATTCAATTTTAGTCGCCTGTAAATTGCTGAAGTTCAAAGTTTCTGCGGTTTTTTAATTTTTTTTATTTAAACTGACAACCACAATTCTTATCATCCGATAAATTAAAGAGTTCCGTCTTTAATCGGACACATCCCAAATAGTTTGAATTTAACGGTCGGGTGAATCGTGATCTGTTGACTCTCGAATGAAAGAAGCAGTGTCTGCGTGAGGAGGGGTGAGGGTGGGGTGCTAAAGGACCACCAGGAACGTGGATGGTTGAAAAGGGGGGGGGGGGAGTTTCGGAAGCTCGATTAAATGTGATAGAAGACATACGGGTATCTTTACTCCACGTCTTCCCAACAGTTGGCCTCCATGAAAATTCAATAACCCGCGAGAAATTACTTCCATGTATTCATCATGCCATTCGCTTTATAAAAAAAAAAAAGGGGGGGGGGGGAGTTTCGGAAGCTCGATTAAATGTGATAGAAGACATACGGGTATCTTTACTCCACGTCTTCCCAACAGTTGGCCTCCATGAAAATTCAATAACGCGCGAGAAATTACCTCCATGTATTCATCATGACATTCGCTGTATAAAAAAAAAAATACATGTATAAGTGTAATGGAATTCCTTTCTGCTGCGTGTTTCTTTCTCTTTGTGCCCTAATCCTCTCATTAACTACAAAGAGGAGAAATTCAAAGCCTTGTCAAATTTTTACGAAAAAAGTTTCTTTTTGACTTCTTGGATTTCCATTCGGCCTTCGGGTGGTACCATTCCCGCCCCCCTCCCTTTTTTGTTCTTTCTCTTTAGAATTAGACCCAAACCGTTATCTTACAAAGTGTGATGTTCATTGATCTGACCGTGATAGTGGAACTAATGTATTGTGGCGCGGAATTCGCTGGGAAAAAAAATGGTAGCCTAGGTATTTCGTGTTAAGGAAGTTTTCACAAGAGTGCTTGCCGCGCAATAGCGTTAACACCCCATTGATAGACAGTGTACGCTTTAACCTGTAAACATGTACCGTGTAACCTTGGGTCCCAAACCCGTGGGTTGCGACCCTAAAATGGTGTTGCGGTTTGGGTTTCTTCAGTGTGTTCCTCGGCTGAAACATTAAACTGATATATATATATATATATATATATATATATATATATATATATATATATTGTCTGGCATGCCTTTTGTGCTTTGCCATCCGCTGCCCTGCATGCTTCAGGCTGCATGGAGCCCTTCTGTACATAGGTACGCCACGATGCTCGACCCTTCACCGCTTCTTCCCACGTGTCCGCGTTGACGTCCCAAGCCTTCTACGAGTCTGTACGGTTGTCTATACTTGTAAAGCGTTTCTTCTGACACCAGGACGACGCCTTTCACACTAGGGCCCATCAAAGAAGATTCATTGTGGCCGAGCGGTCATCTAACATTCTCACGACATGTCCCGCCTAGCGAAGCTGAGACTGCATTAAAATCGTAAGGCTGCCGGGGAGAGATGTGTCTTCGATATTTCGTTATCTTTGACTCTGCCCTGTCATTTTTTTTTTCAAACAAACATATACAATAATTTGGAAGAAGTTTTCATCTCTTTAATGGAATCCTAATGAAGTGTGAAAATCCTAACAAATTTGTAAATATTTTTCGATGCCATTTGTCAATTTTTGTAGTGCACCAGTGTCTCCAGTTTGTAGTGTACCATCGTCTTCATTTTTGTATTGTACCAGTGTTTCCATTTTTTGAAGTGTGTCAGTTTTTTCATTTTTATTGTGTACCAGTGTTGCATTTTTGTATTGTACCAGTGTTTCCATTTTTGTAGTGTACCAGAGTATCCATTTTTGTAGTGTACCAGTGTTTCCATTTTTGTAGTGTGTCAGTGTGTAAATTTTTGTAGTGTACCAGTGTTTCCATTTTTGTAGTGTGTCAGTGTGTAAATTTTTGTAGTGTACCAGTGTTTCCATTTTTGTAGTGTGTCAGTGTGTAAATTTTTGTAGTGTACCAGTGTTTCCATTTTTGTAGTGTGTCAGTGTGTAAATTTTTGTAGTGTACCAGTGTTTCTATTTGTGTAGTGTGTCAGTGTTTCCATTGTTGTAGTGTATTAGTGTGTCGTTTTTTGTAGTGTACCCTTGTTTCCATTTTTTAGTGTGTCAGTGTGTCCATTTTTGTAGTGTACCAGTGTTTCCATTTTGTAGTGTACAAGTGTGTCCATTTTTGAAGCGTGTCAGTGTGTCCATTTTTGTAGGGTACCAGTGTTTCCATTTTGTATTGTACCAGTGTTTCGTTAAAATTTGCTTCCATAAAATTGGATGCCCCCCACCCCAGGACCAAGCTTGTTTTGTAATGAGATAGCTTACCTTTAAATAACTTTTCCAATAATATTTCCATTACTCCCAAAACTCGGTGGAGCATAGCTACTTTACAATATTCCACACTGCTGGACAATTGTCAGTTTCATGTTGGACCCCTTGCCCTCTCCATTTGTTTCTTTCCAACTGGACCAGACTAGATGAAGCGGACGCCATTCCCCTTTCTGCATGACTTAAGTTTGATCCAAGTGACCACACCCTTCTTGGTTGACTGCTTTTGCTCTCGG